ATGGAGGTATGAACATTTTGGTTACACATATTGCCTTTGTACCACATAAACCAGAGATATAATACATGCCCTTTTAATTGACAGAATTGTATATATTTGTGTGATATTTCAATGCATGCATACAATGTGTAATAATCAAATATCTCAAGACTTTATCATTTCTTTGTGTTGGTAACATTCAAATTCCTCTCTTCTAGCTATCTGAAAAAATACAATAAATTATTGTGTACTACAGTTACCCTACAGTATAATATAACACTAGAACTTATTCCTATCTAGCTGTAATTTCGTATCCATTAGCCAACCTCTCTCCTTTCTCCACTCCCCACAACCCTTCCCAGACCTAGTAAACACTGTTCTCTTTACTTCTATGATGTCAATTTTCAAAAAACTTCATTCTTGTTTAAGTGGTGAAACTCCTTTACCCAGGCAGATAAGTAGATTAAAATGCAGAAGGGTAAGCACTTTATTGAGGGAACACCTAAATGGCTATGGTGGCTGATAAAAAGAATGAGAAACTAGGTTTCCTGTTTTCCTGAATTGTTCCTGAAATTAATCTATAATATATGCTTTTTCTCATGAGATGGGGAAAATTTAGGAACACAGTTTAGATAGCATTTTTCCCAAACACATGCTCTGCTTTGACCTAATTATCTAGTCGTCCACTACAAAAGTTACATGCAGTGTGAAAAAATAAGCAAGTTTTTTTCTCATGTAATTATTGTGGGTAACTTAATATTTTCAGAAATAATATCCAACATATAATTTTTGTTATGTGACTTGAAAGATATCATCCACACACAACATACCAAAGTAGGTAGCTTAGCTTCTTCACACTCAGTTCCATTCAATTGGACACCAAATCCTGTCAATTCTATCTCTGAAATAGCCTCTGCATGTGTCATCAACATTTTAAAGGCCATTAGTCTAATCCACTTCCTCAAAAAACAGAAATGTTACATATTTGGTTCTAATTTTAAGTAATACATATGTTATAGAGACTTTTATATAAAAACTTTTTTTACTTTTAAATACTGGTTATGCTGCTTTTGAAACAAGAGCTGCTAGTTTCTCTTCTACTGTTTTATGCAGTATCAAATGCACTGATTATCAAAAAATTTATAGTAAACTTGTAAAGGAACCAAAGATTATTTAAGATACTGCGTGTGGTAGATTTTTTACCAAAATACCTCAATTATTCCTCTCCCTGTATTATTAATGCCCCATTTACAATGTGACTTTGCTGCTCCTGCTGTCTGAAGGCAAGGTCTACTGGCCTTGTGACCAACAGAATGTATCAAAAGTGGCATTGGGCCAGTTCTGAACCTAAGCCTCAAGAGACCTTGTATGCTTCATTAATTCTTAGAACCCCACCCAGTCATCACATGAACAAACCCAGACTAGCCTGCTGCAGAATGACAGACCACATGGAGTAAAGACAAGCCATATAGCTGTGCCACCATCCTAGGCCACCAGCCCCCACCCAACATGCCACTACCAGAGATGTACGAATGAGCCTAGCTGAAGAATTGGCCAACTGAGCAACTTGAATTATTTTAAATTCTTCCTTAGTCTCCTTCTGTAATACACACAATTAAGAAATATATATTTTAT